GAACCTAGTGGTTAGTTTTTATATTTAATTTCAAGATAACAGTAAATTTTTGAAGCTAAAAAATGAGAAATTATTCAGCTAATCTAATGTGATTAGAGATGATTTAATGCATTCAGTGCTTGAAAATTTTAAATTGGAAAAAATTAAAGTTAAGAAAAGCTATACAATTGTTTACTTTCAATTTATATATTTGTTTGCAGTTTCAATTAGATCAATTTTTGACTGTTATTTTGTTGAGATTTGTTTAGAATTAAATATTCTATCAGTTGTTTAGTTGTTTACTATCAATTTCAGTTGTTTACTATCAATTTCGCTGAGTTTGTTTGAAATTATACATATAACTTTAACTTCGTTAATTTTTATTTTTTGAATATTTACAACTAGATTTTATAACTTACTGCTATAAAATCGATTTTTTTAATTTTTTCTTTTTCGTCTTTATTATTGTTGATTGTTTCATTACTGAAATGAATTATTGAGGATGAAATTGATCCAACTTTATAATTAGAATTATAGATTAATATTAAAAAAAAAAAAAAAAAGGAGTTTTCTCAATTTCATTTCTATTCGCTTTTTGAAATATTTCTATAAGTTAAACTATTAATGAATTCAAAAAAGAAATTTAATGAGAGATGACATTAATATTAAAATTCAAAACTTTAGCAAAACAAAATTTTTTCATCTTTTCAAATTTAGTCTTTCCTCTTTTTTTCAAACAATGCAAATATCTATATGTTTGCTCATATTTTTCTTTAACAAAAATTAGTTTTTTTTTTTTTGCTTTAACTTGAAAAATTAAATCGAAAAATTTAAGAACAAATATTTTTTTGCCTGAAATTAGAAACATTGCAAGATGGATGCAAATCTCTTGATGAATTCATCAGTACACTACTGCAAAGTTGCATCTTCTGCAATTGAAATAAAAAATAATCTGAAAAAAATATTCGAAATAAATTGTCAACAAATGAAAAAAAAAAAAATCAAATATTTGTTTATTGAATGCTTTTCAATATTTCCAGCAAAAAAAAAGGAATAATCAAAAATTGAACTTCAAAATGTAGAAAAAAAAAATAATAGTTAACCACACAGTTAAGATTAAGAAAAAAGAGGAAACAAAAAAAAAAAAAGAACCAATGACAACTTATTGTTTAATTTTTTAGCTAATAATTTAATTGAGAAATTGAGAGATTAAAAATTGATTAATTTAAAAGTTTGATTGTTTTACATATTTCAGAAACCGTAGCAGTACAGTAAGGCATAGGAATTTTTTAACGATAAAAAAATTTCGATAGAAATAAAATTTCAATAATAATTTTAAAAACTTTGCAATTTCTATTTAATACATTATTTTTATTCATCATACAGTTGAAATTTGAATTAAAAATTCTGATAAAAAATTCATTTCAATTGTGCAAAAGCTTTTTTTTTTTTTTTTTAAATCGCTCATAAGTTTTCGGGAAAAAAAAACTCAATAAATTAATTTGAATAAAAAATTCCAATAGAATTTGAAAAAAGAAAAATTAAATATACAAATATAATTATTCATAATTAAATTGAAAAATTTAAAAAAAAAAATCGATTATTCAAATAATTGCTTAGAAAACAGAAAAACTAATTCATCATTTGAATTGAATTAACTGAACATGAAAAAAAAATGATTGCAAAAAGAAAAAGGAAAAAGATATGAACGATACCGACCTTTCCGTGTCATCAGAAAAAAGAAAAAAGAAAAAAGCTTACGGTTGACCCAATCAGGTGCTTACGTAACAGGTTGAGAACTACTCGGCAGGCAAATAATATTCTCCGGCTAAATGCATCATATTACTACTACTGATTGCACCATCACAATTGAACGAAAACCTTTCTGAAAAGTTCATCCCTTCCTCTTTCAACTATTTCTACATTTAATTTCTTATATATTCATTTAATATTTAATGGAATAAATATAAATTTAAAATTTTTAATTCTTTAAAATAAAAAAAAAAAGCATCAAATCTCCAAAAAATTTCAAATTCAATGATGCTATTATTGAAAATTTTTGAAGTATAAAAAAAGAAATTAAAGTTTTAAATAATAATACTTTAATAAATACTTAAATAATTTTATTTTCTAACATTGCTTATTGTTATCATCAGAAAATTTCTTTTTTTTTAAAAGAAGAAAATATTTTCGTAATTAATTTGTTGATTGCATTGTAAAAAAAAAAAAAATGATTATAATTTAGAAAAGATGATTAATTATTTTATTAAAAATTTTCTCTAAATCATTAATTTTCAAAGTTTAAAAATTTTTGATACAATTAGATAAATTTTAAAAAGCATCTAAGAATAACAATAATTCTTTGATTTCTATCATAATGTTTTCAAAATCACTGTATATTATATTCTAGGTAATTAAAAATTAAGAGATCAAATTTCAAATAAGTTACAATTTTATTATAAAATAAATGATTCAGTGCTTAAATAAACATACCTTGTTGAAATAAGAAGTAAAACTTTTTGTGCAAAATATTACTGAGACATCATAAAATATTAATGAAAAATCTTCAGAACAAAATTATAAAAATTTGTTTAAGAATTTAGAATATATGGCTTTATTTATTATTCACTGTAAATTTCATGGCTAAATTTTAGCTCAAAGTTTTTTTTTTCAAATTAAAAAAAATTAAGTCTTAAATTTTGATGAAAATTGGAAATTTAACAGAAACACGTGCTCTCTGTAAAAATTTAATAAACACAAAACAACCACTTATTGTTAATTCTCAATTAGTAATCTTCACTTCAAATATGATTTTCAGATCAAAAAAAAAAAAAAATTAAAACAACAATTGTGATAGAGTGAAATGATAATAAAGATGGATAAGTATATTATCCAAAATACGTTAAAATAACCGCAGAATAGCTACAGAGTTTCTTGTTTTCTTTCTTTTATTCTTTTTTTTTTTTTTAGATATGACAAAGTAATAATTTAAAATAATGCTTGTATATTGTTTAAGCAAAATAATCATATTTAAATAATATTAAAATAATCATATTTAAATTGATATATTTAAGCAAAAGATAACATAAATTAAAATTGGAATATCTCTAAAATATATTTGCACAACTATGAAATTAACATTTAGCTTTTTCTAATGGATCTGAAATTAACTCTTCAATTTTCACATCAGAAGCATTTATTTGATTGACAAATGAGCTATTAGCTTCGTTTTCAAGAAAGTATCTGATAAGGTAAATTACTATGTTTACCAATCGGTGACAATTCATACTTATTGCAAGTTCTGACATTGCATAATTATATAAATTCTTACTTATTCTGTGTAAGCATTAAAGTTCAAATGTAGGATGATTTTTATCAGTTAACTCTAACTATAGTAGTAAAAGTATAAGTATTATGAGTTACAAAGCATGGGTAAAAGTAACTTGCCTTACTCAAAAGTTTTCCATGCACAGGTAAGGTAGCATATATCAGTGGTAGCTTTTTCTAGTAAACACTGGAGGGTAACTACTTAACCCCAACTCTTGCATCCGCTTGATTCCTGAATTCTGACATGCTCCTTTCAAAAGTTTTGCCATCCTCAAGTCAAGTCGAGAACAGTCTTGCCATCCTCAATCAAGTCGAGAACAGACAAAACACATTTTTGATATGCTTGCACAGCTAAGCTAAGCTAAGTTCTTCCCATTGTGAAAGTGACATATTAAGATGCAATTACTCGAATAAAACTAATAACATCTCAAAGTCAACTTTTATTTTTCAAATCAAATAATAATAATTTGATGTTTGTAACTAATGTGCAGAAATATCAGTGTAATATTAATAATACTATATTATAGTTCTATTTTATATATCTGATTATATTAATAATATATGGAATAATCCAGTAATGGGATGAATTATTTATGATAATTACATGGATAATTTTCATGTTATCATTGTATTATATTTTAATTAAAATAATATAACAAAATTTGGAAATAGAAAATGACTGGAAGATATGAACAAAATTAATGAATTATCATTGGAGATTATTCATAAATAAATCAATAAATCAAATTTATTTAGCATTAATGTTTGAATTATAATAGCAAACAATCATTGAGTGAATTCAATTATCTTTTTAAAAAAGGAAAATTTATTTATATGTAAGAAGAATTATAGAGGAAAAAGGGAGGTAAGAGACTTTTTTTTTTTTAATCATTCTGCGATTTTGTAGGAATCAATGTTTTCATGATGGGATCAGAGTTTTCATAAATGTTTGTGCATGAAAGTACGCCGTTAAGTGCATCTCCTTTACTGTTTAATTTTCTTTGTTTGAGAAGTACATGGTTAGGTTAAAGGTCAAACGCAGAATAGACGTTGAGGAATATGTGTTGTGGTTCAGGAGGAAACGAGCATGAAAATTAAATGGTATTTGAAAAATTTTATTAAATTTTATCAACAGTATCTTTCTTTCAGATTTTGACATTTTTCTATTTTTCCAATCTTTTGTCTTGTTCAAATTTTTAATTCTAACTTAAACTGATGTTTACTCTATATTGCCGTTTTAAATTGTAACTAAAAATTTATTTATGGTTTTTATTTTGGTTTTTATATTTATATATGGACCGAAATTTTTCATTATTTGGTATACAAATTTAAACACTTCTTATATTTCTTGTTTCAAGTTCAGATAATCTTCACTCAAATTTGAACTCTTTATTTTTAACTCTTGGTCTAATATTTGGCGTATTCTTAAGTGCAAATTTGATTTTTCTTTCAGATTTGTTTTTGGATTACCAATCAACTTTTTGTTAATTTTTAATCAAACCGTAAAAGTTTGTCTAAGTGGACAGTTACTCAGATTTCCAAGAGTTCAGTGTTTTCAGGATTGTATATGGAAATAACTTTTATCTCCTTGCATATATACATCGAACGGAAGAACTCCGGCTTTTTCTCAGTACTCTCGAGAACTTCTGGTGAATTCATAGCAGTTGACAGTATATGATTGGAACAAACAAATAATGAATAGGTATCGAGTGCTGGTATTCGCCGCATTCATGTTTATTTCTGCTACAAGTGTACTGCCGTGGAATTTATTTATAAATGCGCATGAGGTATGTCAATGTTGTCACTACAAATGATTCAAACTGTATGAACTAAAGGATTATTGATGAAATTTGAACATGTGTCAGGAATCAGTAGTGGTCAGACCGAAACGTTATAATCCTTTGTTTGTCAAAGACTAGGTATGAACTATTGAATGGACTAGATAGATTTAAACGTTGCTTTATTAATTACTTTACTGATAGTTAATTCTTAAGTCGTTTTTTCTTCTCTTCAAAAAGTCTTTTTCAGTATTATCACTACAAGCTCCGTAATGTAACTGAGAATGCAACTTTAAGTGATGAAAAAGATGACACCGAACTACAGCGTTCATATGAAGGCTGGGTTACACTTACAGGTGGTGTTTCATGTGCTTTTGGCTCGGGAATAAATTTTTTGGTAACAGGACGGTAAGATTTTTTAATTTCTTGTATTTTTGCATGAACTTTAGACTTAGATGCAATTATTGATTAAGCTTTCTCATTTAGATTGTCTGGTCCTAGGTTGTAAACTTGTGATTACCTTGTTATGTTTGAAGATTGCGAAAACAGATCGAATTATACATATCACTCTTCTTTTCTATTCTGATGAAATATTCATTATAAAACTCTTCCAATAAGAAAGCTTTTGCTGATTTCCCATCAAAAAATTTTCCATACACATATTTCATATTGGGACATTCTTTACGAATTCGAGCAGGTCATACGGTCGTACTATTGTCACTTGTTCCTACGGTTTTATTGACATATATCAATACTGATGCATGTATGTTTCTCATTGATTTGTTTCGTGAATATAATTGTAGCACTCTTTCAAGTAATTTTTGTTGTAATAATTTATTTGCCGGATAATACAATAATGTTGGTATTATTTATAGTTCAGTCAGCTTTCTTCTGCATTTCAATGGTACTCGCTTCCTTAGCCAGTTTTGGTTCCATTGGTTTGATTGCTTGTGGTCTTTTGGGATTTTCAGCGAAATTTCCATCTGAAAATGTAATTTTTCTTCTTCTGAAATTCAGCAATATTTTCATCCAAATTTTTAGGTACTTTCCGAAATTTATCATTTTGATAGTTTCAAGATTTTCAGCAATTATATCATGGTTTCTTTTTTTTCTTGCTCAAACTTTTCGGAGATAGGCTTATAGTCACTATTATGTTGACGGGAAGAGGTTTGAAGTGCCGGACGCTCAAGTTCACTTTTATATGTGCGTTTTTGGGTGTTTTATTTTCCGTTGCAGGTACAAGCAGTAATGATTGGTCAGTCAGTGGCTGGCATTTTGAGTTCACTGTTGAGCATTGTTTGCCAAAGTTTAGCGGCTAATGCCCTTGTGAATGGTCGTTTATTTTTTGTAATTGCTTTCGTTTGGACTATTTTGAGTGTTTTTCTTTACGAATTATTGGTCCGTTCAAAAGAAACCGAATTGTTACTTATCGATGAGGGTAGCAGGATTGACCAGTCGTCTGATCAACGGCTTCTTGGTATTTTCCTCTTAATTTCTTGAATGTTTTCTTTTATTTAAACAGATCTTTTTACCTAATCTAACACTACTACGATTTTGCTTTTTTACTGATGGTTCTTTCCGTGATATCTTACTAATATGGATAAAGCCAAAATTTTAGGCCATTTAATTAGTGCAAAAGAACTTAACTTTGAATAGCAGCACTTATCTTGGGATGTAAAAGGAGAATTTTATAATCCGGTATTGTTATCAGAGAAGTGATAATATTTAATTCAAGCTTAAAATTGAATTTATACGGTTAGATAATGTTGACAACACTTTCGAAGCAGATGAATCTCCGCTTCATTTGAGATCGACGGAAACTCATTCTTTGTGGAGCGACGCAGAACAAGTATGGAAAAAAGTAAAGTCATAGAATTATTTGCTTCTCAATTTTTATAGTTCCTTCCTTTTTCTTAGGCAAATGGGAAATGCTAAAGGGCTCATCTTTCATTTCTACTTCCTGTGCTATATTCCGGTATATAGAACTGCAGCAATTAATTTGAAATATCTCGAATTTCATTAAAAAATTTGGTTTCCCTAGTTAGGTATCATTGTTTTGAACTTCATGAACAGAACTGACTTAATGCATTGTATTGTTTATCAAAAATCATTTGTTGAATGAAATTCATTTCAGACTAAAGTGGAGTGGTGGGCTGGTTTTATCATTTTTTTCGGCACTATGACAGCTTTTCCAGCTGTATCGTCATTGGTTCAAACAAGTGCGAAAAATTTAGTTTGGAAAAGTAAGTATATTAGTTTCTTATCAGTTAACTTCTACAAAATTGATGGTGCGAATTTTCTTTCATAGGATGTGAATTTTCTTTCTGTGTAACCGTGCAATCATTTTTCGGATTAAAAAATTGCGTTGATTTGGATTAGTGGCTTCAGAATTTCGACTGAAGAGAAAGAAATAAATGTGCGGAAAAGAACTTGAATTATCTATGTGTTTTATGTGCTGCATAGCAAATCGGAAAATGATATCAATCATAAGATGAAATGCGACTGAATACGATGTAATTAAGCTAATTTAGCTAAAACTAGATATAATTTGGGACAGTGCAGCTAAGTTATTACAGTGAAATAATTATATAGTAATATAACACTAATGAATTAGTTGCTACAATATTCGCAACGGTATGTTGGTAACGGAACAAAATAATTGAGAGAAAACAAATTAGATTTTTTATGGACTTAAAAAATTTATCAGTAGAAAGGTATTGTATTGAGAACTTGATAAATTTGCGGATATGGAGTTATTGGCTAATTTTTACTAACTGAAACAATCTTTTGCAGATTATTTTTCGTCTCTCGCATGCTTTTTATTATTCAACTGTGGTGATGCATTTGGCCGTTTAGTTGTGAATTTCTGTAGGCTGGTAAGTTGTTAATTTAGCAACAGTCAATGTTAAATTAAAATAAATGGGATGCTATACAAAGATGACCACTTCTGGATGCTTCTTACAACGATTGATATGCTGACAAATTACCTATAAATCTTGATTAAAATTAATCAGTCGATACAGGGTTCTGCAGTTGCAAACTCAAATGAATATAGTACATAAATATATTAGGTGAGATTGATTTTTTTTTTTTTTTTTTTGAAACTTTAATTAAGCTAGTTGTTTGCTGTTGTCGGTTAATTTCATTTATAACTGTTTGCCAAGTGATGCCGACTAATTTCAACTAGTCGGCTAACTTTTTTGAACAACAACCGCAATATCCGTATCTATTTTGGCCTAAGCTATAATTTTTGTGTAAGTCTAATTTCCATAACATAAAGCTGGATTATCTCATGGATCTAAAACAAGGTTATAATTTTCGCAGTCATTTAACTGCCAATTTTAGAGGGAAAAAGCCTTGATAATGCTGTCGTTTCTTCGGCTGCTCGCTATTCCGGTGCTTTTTTTCTGCAATATTAATCCACGTTATCATTCTGTAACATTATTTCGTAGTGATGAAGTTTTTATTTCAACAATGTTACTGTTTTCGATTTCAAATGGGTTCCTGTTTACAACAGCTACTATTAATGCGACAAGGTAGGTCTTTTTTAAAATAGAATTCAACCTTGTTTCATTTTATATTTTATTCTGTTTATATATGAAGAAGTATAAAAATAGCGTGCAGTATGTATGCATGTCAGTAATATATATCAGTAGTCAAAGAATTATAGCTTAAAACATGAAAAAAAAGATTTGATAGAATTTAACGTCTAAGAGACTAGTGCCGGGTTAATTTTGTTTATATGATCGATTTTTCTTATAGAACATAACAAAACATTTTGTTGTAATATGGGTGAGCTGACCATTCAAAAGTTTTAGACAACTTGGAAAAATTAGGTGGCGACTAGTCTGGAACCACTATTTTAGATACGGAACCATTATTTTAGATATAGGATTTAGTTAAGCGAAGTGTCGTTAACCCTTTTTTTTAAACTATATAGCGATGTATGAGGTTAGTTGTTGCATACTAAAAACTCGTTGATATTGCATTATTATTAGAATTTTTCATTAAATAGTTTGAACTACTATACATGAATATACGCGACAGATATATGTGGTAGTACACTCATTCCTTGTGTTGTGTACAAACGTTTTTATTTTATCGCAATCTGCTATTTCATTTACTTTTCAGTGATTTGATGATTGCCTTCGTTCTATTTAATTTCTTGAGATTAATTATATTTTATCACCACTTCTGTTATGCAGAAACACATTAAATGGTTTATTATTCAAAATAATCTCACTTTTTCATAAATCACCGTCCCTTTAATTTTCAGCAAAGTGCATGCTGAATTACGTGAATTAGCCGGAAGCATGTTTGGATTTATGGCAGTAATTTCAACACTATGTGGCTCGCTGATTGGTTTATTACTTGTTAAAGCTATGTAAAAAACTTAACTTTTATGAGAGCTTCGTAACCAAGTCATATTATTATCAAAAATTCACAAATAAAAAATGTTTTAAATGACTACGTTTTAATGTTAGTTTATTGTCAGTAAAGATAAAATCGAGCCGCATGATCATATTTCTCTTCTCTATGTCCGATGCATAACCTGACACTGTCAGAAAATCGAAATAATTTTATCAAAAAATCTATAAAATTCCTTAATGAGTAAATAAAGGTTCACAATGTTCTCATGAAAATTTAGCATGAAATTTTCATGTTCCCATGCTAAATTTTCATTTAAACGTTTGCTATCTTCCCATCATTGTTAGTTTCATATTTGCTAGTTACATTCATCAGTCCTTTACTTGCCCATTCTAACTCATTTTTCTGCATTGCTATCTTTGTATTCAACCAAATGCATTAGGCAGGAAGGAGAAAACATCTCCTAACCAATTGGTACTGTTGTAAGATTCCTTCGTAAATCACATATAAGGAGCTAAATTTGATGAATTGAAACTCTAATTTATTTGAATCATTCACGGTTAGTGGACGATTTATTTAACGAAGTATGATCCTGCTTATTTCATTCTTTTCCTACAATAAAGCAACTGTTGTATCTACCCTCCAATATAAACAACAGTCAGCATCTAAATTCGTTTTACTTGCAATCTTCAACGATATAAAAGAACATTTTCCATATTTGTGTCTATTTGTCATAATTTCCTCTAATAATCTTTTACAAAATCCAGTTATTTCTCCACCAAACATAGCTTATCATACTCTGTATCCTATGAGTTCCGTACTATTTTTCCTGTTTTTTCTCACTTGGCTGTAAATAAATTAACTATGAAATAAATGTAATTCACATCAAATTCACATTATTGTTTGCCATTTTCCACTTTTAAGCATTTCTACTGTTTTGTTCAGCTAGTGCAAAGCATCGGACTGAATTTACTATAACAATATTTCTGTTAATTATTACTGACACCTCTTGTCCAATCTTTAAGTTAAGAAGCGTTAGCCTCACTTGGGAAAAAGGCTGCTTGGAATCCCAGGTGTTGTATACATAATTGAAGTTTTGTGCATCATTGGTACGATGATTGCAGTAAATGCAATAAATGCAGTAATATAGTAGTGAAAAATCAATCATATCAACTTGAATGCATGATAAATTTTTATTCTATTTGTTTGCTAAGAAACATTCGCTTTTCAAATGATCAGATGAATATTGGATGCACAACAACTATATGACAATGATGCAGGTATGATCGACGGTTTAATTACCCAAGTTTGAGGTAATTGAATGTTTCGGCCCAGAGTTTAGGCTACTGTGGCTTGAAGTAAAATTTTGAAACGTCCTGCATATTTGTGGGACAATAATCAAATGCGTTAGCAAGAATGAGATTTTGCTCAGGTTTTATCATTTGTATATATCTTCTATCTGTATTACTTTGAATGCATGAAGATCGAAATTTTTCTCTACTTGCAATCTGTTTTGTTCCAGTGATAATGTAAATTTAGCAATTGAAATATTCTTGAATAGCAAATGTTGCTTGAAGTGAAGTAAAAATGATCGCTACAATAAATGTGTGCTATTATCGATTCGATGTGATTTATTCTTTAACATATTTGTAACAATAGTCTACGACCATACCACGTTGAAAGCACGACATCTCGTCCGATCTGTCAAGTTAAGCAACGTTGGGCCTGGTTAGTACTTGGATCGGAGACGGCCTGGGAATCCCAGGTGTTGTAGACATATTTTTGGTTATTAAATGGATCATAGCACTTTGAATGCATGATTTTGTTTGATCAATTTTGCTAAAAACCTTTGCCCATCAATGATCTGATAAATATCGGTAACAACACATTTGTCCCTCCACATCCACGCATTTGTTGTTGCATACAAATTTAGAGTAACTCATTTAAAAATTTCACATTCAAGCAATGATGGCACCCAAGATCACACCCAAAAGTCAAAAATACTCCAATTATTAAATTTATACCATCATTCTCAGCATTCATCATTGTCATCCGCTCAATATTTAAAGTTCGAACAGATTACTGAAAGATTTGCAAATAGAACAAAACACGATCAACATGCATTCAAAGTGACAGATGTGTTATCAAATTTTTTGATCTTTGTTAGTTTTTTTTGTTCTGAATATTTTTTATTAAGGTTCTGCTTTTGAAAATGTTCATTTAATGATCATATATTTAAAGCAAATGAAAGTGTACATAATATAGTACTAGCAATACTAAAATATAGATTTAGGACTAAAGACTGATGCCGCTATATATGCAATGAAAAAGGTAATGGATAGTGTAATGCATTCTTTGAACGGATAATTTTATTATACATAACATAAAAACAAAAGGAGCTAAACCTTTCCATAATTTTCTATCCATTATCTCTCACACTGCTTAGCTAAATGGATAAAGAAAATGAATTTATTAATAATACACGTAAATATTTAACAAATTGAGCACTCAATGGAAAATTTGAACTAGGAGAATACCCTGATAAAGCTGATATTACCAAAAGTTTGATCGAATAGAACCGAGGTCTATCAGTAAAGAGTATATACAAGTTTGAGTAAATAGAGAAAGAAAAAATATTCGTGCTATATCGTAAAAATGTTTCAAAATTATACTAAAGTTTTTGTTACTATATATTGGTAATAGGATGAGAATACATCATTTCAGCCATTATTGTCCCACAAATATGCAGGACGTTCCGAAATTTTACTTCAAGCCACAGTAGCCTAAACTCTGGGCCGAAACATTCAATTACCTCAAACTTGGGTAATTAAATCGTCGATCATACCTGCATCATTATCATATAGTTGTTATGCATTCAACATTCAGCTGATTATTTTCCGGCAAACGGATCAAACAAAAAGCGCTATGATCGATTTTTGATCACTATGTATTATTGCATTTAATGCATGGTAAAAAACAGCAAAAACACGTCTACAACACCTGGGATTCCCAGGCCGTCTCCGATCCAAGTACTAACCAGGCCCAACGTTGCTTAACTTGACAGATCGGACGAGATGTCGTGCTTTCAACGTGGTATGGTCGTAGACTATTGTTACAAATATGTTAAAGAATAAATCACATCGAATCGATAATAGCACACATTTATTGTAGCGATCATTTTTACTTCACTTCAAGCAACATTTGCTATTCAAGAATATTTCAATTGCTAAATTTACATTATCATTTTCAAACAATCATTGAACAGAATATATTACTGAAGATTTGCAAATAGAAAAACACAATCAACTTGCATTCAAAGTAATATGATTAATTTTTCATCACTGTGTTGTTTGTTGTATTTACTACAATCAGCATATCAATAATACGCAAAACATCAAAATGTGTCTACAACAACCAGTAAAAATTTTATCTACAGCATCTAGGATTAAATATATCTTGGTACCTCCAAAATTAATATTATTGAAAGTTGGATGACTAACAATATATTTACTAACCATATATTTATTAATAATTACTGAAATGAGTTGCAGAAAATTTGTTTAAATGCAGAATCATGACAACTGTGAATCAGTTTTAAACCTCAAAGTAATTATTGTTAATCAAAACGAATACTTTTATCGCCTTCAAAAAGTACCGATTTTTGGTCACGAAATTGAATTAAGTTTTTCTATTTTGAATTAAATTTTATGGATTTATTGTATTTTCAAGTTTATCACTGTTATTGTAAAAGATAGCATTTTTATTTCCTTACTGTTTGATGTAAATTCTAATTGATTTCATTTTTTCAAAAATCTTTTATGTAGTTAATTTGATTTACTAACCTTCATATGTAGTTTTATATAGCTCTAATGCTACTTCTAATGATAACGATTTCTCGTTTAATGTCTCGCAGAAAACGGTTACTAAAGCAAGGACTTCGTGTACTTCAATTCTGAAACAATGAGACTTAGCCAGAAACATTTAGTAGGCGTAATGATATCTTTTTCTCTCATTTTCTTTTTTTTTTTTTGTGGAGCTGAAAATTTTGTCATCAGTTCTTTATCCTTAAAAATGAATTCAGTCTGTTTGGTGTGCCATGGAAAACTGTGATGTTTTGATAATCTATAACGATCTCTCAATTTTAATACTTTGCTTGATTCTTTGAACAAACAATTTTTTTTTGCTTCAAATTTTGCTCATTCTTTCCATACTAATATAATATAGTCAGTTCATTATCTTGTACAACTGGTGTATGTGCGACATAATATGTCTTTTGATCATAATTTAACGACGTTTTTTTTTAAAAAAAAAAAACTTTTATTAATCATCATCGTATGCTCGGGATTTCCTCTCAAACTCAGTGATAAGATGATATAAAGTTTTTATTATTCTTACCGAAAATTGAATTTCATTGTAGAGTCTAAGATCTTGTCGAGAAATTGTGTTCGTATTTTGTTATATTTCTGTTATATTTCTCAAGTTAATTCTATTTAAGCGTTTCATGGATTATTAGTTTGCACATTTAGTTCAGTCTGCATAGATTAGTTTTAGATTTGGCAGCTTGTTTGATCATAAACTATCAGTACATATATGTCAAAACTATAACTTCGCCGATGTATAATTTAGATTATCTGAAAGATTATCTGAAATTCAATTGCTGAACATATCATTTATCAATAATTGCTCCTTTACCCATTTTTATCTTTGCCATATCCCATTGTTCTATTTGGAAGTTATTCATTAACCCGAGGACTGCAATTTCTTTCGCACAACATTACTAAAACTTTTAATTTTTATGCTCGCTTAGAAATAATATCCGAAACAATAATTCAAGTTTCAACTTTTGATAAAATCATAATTAAAATTCACGGTTTCGTCCGCAGTTTATCCAGCAAATACAAAAATGTATAGTCATAAACGGTGAAACTGATAGATACTGTTATAGGTCCCTGAAAAATGCTTCTACTCTGAGAACTTCCAAAGTCATAGTTGTATTTGTTACTTGGCTTTAATAAGAGATAATTATAACTACAAATAAAATGATGTAACTACAATCTAACTTTTATTTTCGATATTGCAATTTCTTTAGTAAATCAAGTTTTTAACACTGACTAAATATTTATTAGTAGTATAATAACAATAATCAATACAATAATAATCATGATTGAGGTGGGCAGTAATAACAATAATAATAAGAATAAAAATTAAAATATTTTTAGCATTACTCTCATAATTTATTCCAAATTGGAATTATAATAATAATAATAATAATAATAATAATAATAATAATAATAATAATAATCATTAATCACTTTTCTCAACAGAATCCACTGGCATCATTTTGGAAATGTAATATATAATTTTCAATTACGAATCTTCTTTTTCATTTCATTCAGTTTATTTCATCATTTAAATTTGATATAATTCTTGTTCAGTTTTCAAAATTTTTATTTGTTCCTTGCATGTACTATTTTTTTCAGTTTTTCTTAGTTAATTTAGTTTTCCCTTTTTTTTTTTTTTGTTCTGTGCTAAATTATGCTATGAAGTGATTAACATGCAATATTTCTTTGACTAATATTATTTCATTATTTTCACTTTAAATATCTCACATTCACTGCCGTTTTTTTTTTTTTGTTTTTAAATTCAGTAGAAATAGCTATTATGATGATTTCTTGTTTTATACATTCGAAGGAAAAACCTGAGGCGTTATCAATACTGCACCAAATTGATCGTTTGACATCATCAGTTAATCGATGCATAAATGAATAATTCATACCTTAAAAATGTTGACACTCTCTGCTCTTTAGCATGTAGAAACCCCATAGAAAGATAATCAATCATCTATCCAATAAAAAAATTTAGCATTATTCAAACAAAATTCAATAACCAGAATTATAATAATAATAATAATAATAGTAATTCACTGTATAATAAGACTTTGCAGGAGGTTTCTTCTTCTTCTTCTTCTTCAAAAAAAGTGATGGATTATAAAAATCAAGGTTAAAAAAATTCCCATACAGGTAGCAAGTCTAGCTCTCCGAGTACAAAATGAATTAACAAAACTAGAATAGTCCTAGTTTATTTAGATAATGATTTCCTTAGAATAAGTAATTTTGACACTTTTACATGTATGTAATTCGTGGGTAACTATTAATTTTATTTAAATATGTATAAGCATAAATGCTTTTGATCGTGTGACAAATTTATTTGTTACCGATAATAATGTCACTCGCTTGTTAAGTTGCAGCATTTTAATGGCAAAAAATCGCAGAGTTAGCTTATTATCATTAAGACGATGGTTTGTTTGTTCAATTTTTGGTAAGATTTACTTTCATTATAATTCAGATATTCCGAACAAGCAATAAAATGATTTATTTTTGCTTCTGAATTTCACATAGTAACTCAAATTTTTAATAAATTATTTAAAGATTTAAGATTTTCAATAAACATATAATAGCACTAATGACTTTTACAGTTTAATCAACGATTTAATCTTATACACAATGGTTAAGATCAGCAAATGAAGCTGATTCAATTTACTTATTAAAAATTAGCTGTTTATTCTTTAGGTTGAAGTTTGCACAAGGACATTGACGAAATTAAAGAAAGTAACGTATTTTGAATAATAAAAATTGATAAATTGCTCTTAAAAGACATTTTCATCTTTGCAATGTTTCATGAAGTTTGTCGGTCTCTTAGCTTTGGTTAAACATTTTTATTGTTTTCATTAGTTAAAAAATAAGCAAAATATCTACCGTTTAGTGCTCATTATCTCATTGCTTTTGCACCTTCCCTAATTAAAAATGATAAAAGTAATGGAAAAAAAGTTTTCACAAATTGAAAATCGGAAACGTTTCGTTGCAAACTTAATTAATTTGCACAATTCATTTGCTAATCCATTTGGAGTAATGTAAATGATAGAAATGATAGATCAAAATGATAGATTAGGTTTATTATTATTCATAAATATTTACACCAAAGTGATTTATTTTCGTTCTAATTAGTAATTTTTAAAAAAATCATTTCAGTAATACTTCTTAGTATATTTTATGTGTTTTATATGGTCATGTTATGGCAAATTCATGGTCGATATACTTGCAAAGAATGTTTACAGTTATATTTTAATGATGAACAATTAAACGTTAGTTAGCTATTTTCTCCAAATCAGAACAATCATCGACATTTCAAGAAGATGAAATTTTTGCTCAGCAAAGAGAAATTTGAACTGAACAATTACCAAATCCAAATATCCGTTATACGATCGCCGCTCCATGCAATATTTGACTAAACAATGAATTTTCGGATTTACATCTGATTGTATATGCACTAATGACAATATTAATAGCGCTGCAAGTGCATTGTGCATTTTGCATGCGTCACGCATGCACGAAGCAAACGTTTTTGATTTGCAGTTCAGTACATCGAAGCAAGCGCTATCATCGATATTGCAATTGAGCAGGTATTTAGAGAGCAAAACACTACTCGTTGATCCTCGCTTCATATCACTAATACAAGGTGAAGTTTTTGTTGTGTGCTACACTTTTAGAAAGTTTTATTAAAATAAATTTTATTAAAGCAAAATTAAATTTAAACACTCTTAAAAAGTCGCTTAAAAAATATCTTAAAAACGTTCAGCAAATCACATTTCAACTAGTTATAATATTGCAAAATTCATTAAAAAAAGACACTAAATTGCATTATTTTATGTCTTAGATTCGAGCATGCGCCGAGATGAAAAGATTCAAATTAAGTTCAAAAGAAAGAAAAAATGTTCTCAATATCCTTTATTTAAATAATATTTCGATACTTTATTGGATAACAGCCGTAGTATTTAATCCAAAATTTGGGGATAAAATAAAATATATTTACGTTTAAAGTTTACATTTAACTACATTAGTTCACATTTTGAAAACAAAATGCATTAATTCCTGAGAAAAAGCAAGCATTTTTCAGATGTTCAAGCACATTTCATCAGTGATAAGCAACTACGTATTGGTGAGGAGAACCTTAATGATATTTTAGAATCAAATAGTGTAGTGATGGCATTCTTTGATCGAGACGGGTTAGATATCGTAAGTATTTCACATAAGATATTATCACTCGACCTACCTTCCTTAAATGAATCACTTTTAAAATGAATTAAAATTTGGATCTAATTTTGCATGAGAGTTCCAGTAGAAATAAGTTTAAATTTTTTTTTTTTCATTTTACAAAGTATTGTAAGAGACACTCTGTCGTATTCAAACTGTAAAACAGTCCAAAGAACTTAAAAATCTTCGAATCTTTTTGATTGATTTACTTTAACTGTGTGTGGTTTTAAGTTAATAACTTATAGATAAATGCCACAATATATGACATTATGTGTATTCCATTCCTCTTTTCAGCTAAATTTGTTGAAGAGTCATAATTTATTATGGAAAAAATTTACTGATCAAAGCTTTGAAGTAATAATCGATGGAATTTCTCATCGACTAATACCGTTCAGTTTATCGAAAAGCGAAGATTACATCGAATTTATTTTGAGGAAGGTTAAAAGAATCATACCGAAGTAATTCATTATTGAATTTGCTAACTATTTCTAGATAATTTTAAGTTATTTTTTCAAAATCAATTCAAATTTTCAATATTTCTAGACATGTAACAACATCATCCATCAGCAGAATGAAAATTTTGATTGAGAAGATTGAATTTCAGATTTGATGTTGTGAAATACAGGGTGGAGAATGAAAGTTTCGTAGGTCCGGTTGACTGGATCAGATTTGTGTGGACTTTACAGCGCAGTAGATTTATCAGCTGTGAAAAAGCTTTCGCAGCACGGTACCGCCAAACTTACCCTCAGTTCTTCAGCGGAAAACCTCGAATTCAAAATGGGATCATATTGACACTTCAGAGATTCCGCAATTGGGCGATTGAGCGTGGTATGACACCGATGCTCTATGCCGGTACATTGCTAGGTATTATTAATGTTTGCAATGCAAATTTATGCTTAAAGTTAAAAAAAAAAAAAAACAACAACAGCGGAAAAATCGAAAGGAACTCAAATAGTTGTCTGAGAAAATGCACTATCTTTTACGGCAACCAATCTCTTATTTGCTTTATTGTGTAAACTGTTGAAGCTGTTGGTTCAATAAATGCATAAATTTTTATTTCAGTTCTCCTTGTAGTTAGTCTTTTGACGTTCTTTTCGTGCACTACTTTTAAGAAATTCAGCTTCGTTTAAGTCTAATTCCAATGTGACTGAATGAAATTTCTGGCAAAAATCAAATTATAAGAAAATTTTCTTTTGTATTGTTTTGTTTATTATGGAAATTTTTTACTAATATAAATTTAGGTTGGTATCGAGAGTGTGGTATTATAACATATACACATGACATCGACTTTATGGTGTTTATCGAGGAACACTATGACAAATTTCCTGATGATGTTATGAATAGTTCGTTTATCGAGCTTAGTCTGCGGTTCAACAAAGTGAGTTAAAACTCTTCATAGAAATAAGAAAAAGATAAGTAAGTAATAAAGTAATTGATTAGCCAGAAATTTCATATTGCTAACAAATAAGGTTTGCGTATTGATTCATTTTATTCCAATTTAGCATTCAAATTTCGGATTTTTGCAGCCGGAAGACTTATTGGAATACAAAGTGTACATAGAGAATGGCATTCCAATGGATATTTTCTTTTTATATCATGATCAAAACAGTTCCTGGATTGGAGGTCTATCTGGTGTAACCAAGTACAGGCAAGTATTTACAAATTTCTCTTTAACTCTACCACTAACTAATCTGTCGCCAGAAGTTTTGTGTGCAAATTAACATTTAGTAAGATTTGAGGTTTATTTATCCGTTGATTAATCGAACTTGTGCAACCGATCTGCTCGGTTATTTGATGTATGTTCCATGCAATGCGTTGGATGTTATTACGGTAAGTTTTATAATCCGAATTTATATATAAATCTCCAAGAAATGTCTCATTGTTCGGGATTAAAACAGAAAGTGTCAATGAACGCCATCATATCAAGCAAGAAAAACTAACTCAAAGAAATATTAAAAAAATTTTTCCTATTTTCAGAGTGATTATAGCAAGAATTGGTCAGAACCGCTTCATTCTTCCAGATATTTCTGGAATGAATCTCCATCAAATATATTAGGGGCTGGAACTGTTCCTCCGGAAGAGAGAGCTGAATCTTTCATACAATACAACAGGTAATCAACTGACTGAACTCTAAATGATTAATATTTAATTTCGATGGTATTAAACAGCCTTTAGTTCAACACACACAAATGACCTTCCATTTCCACTAAATATTTCAGTGTGAAAAACAAAAAAGCCAATGAAAAGAAATCAAATCCTCCGATAAAACGTGTGACATCTCAAAGAGCTGAACATTATAAAACGTCGAATGTCTCACAACGACTAATGAACACTTGAAGACGTGCTGGTAGTCAATAGCGCTTCTTCGATTCGAGAGCAGAATATTCCGCCCAACGTTTTGTGTAATTAGCTGTGACAATGCCGTATGGGGAATATTATAATCTTTATTTGTATCGTTAGACAAAAGAATGAAACAACTGTTGTATTGACGGCATACCGATCCTAAATAACATAATTTGGGGAAACTGCGACATTTTCGCAGAAAGATGAAAGTGTACCAAGATTTTTCCTTATTCTTTTATGATTTTGAGTGAAAATGTCGCAGTGTTATTGCTCATTCGCCTTTGTATTGTTGTCTTTAGTGTTAATACTTTCTGTTAATTCTATTTATAAACATTTATCAATTAGTTGTTTGATTAAAAAATCCTCAAAAAAGTAAGCCTTGAATATACTGAATACTGTAATTATCAATCGAAAACAAAAATGATAGTTACAGGAATTCTAAAATAAAACATCAGAATTTATCCTATCATTAGTCTCAAAAATAAAAAGTAAGTTTCTAGCCACATTGAAATTTTTAGCCAAAAAAAAAAAAAAAAAAATCTGAACAACGTTCGAGAACATAATCTGATAATATTGCTCAGTAAGCACTGAACATGTTTTAACGGATCTCGTCGCATGTATTCATCTACACATCTAATCACCCAGTTTAGAATTCTACAATGTCACTGTATTTTCAGAACAATAAGCCTGCAAATCTTAAATATTAATGAGAGAGATGTCATGCATCAAGAGATGAGATGAGATGAGACCTATTCTATTATAATTTTTAATAAATTGCATCCACAGTTATGGCATTCTAATAAAAACTTAAAAATTTTGCAGTAGTAATTAGCATTTTGTGGAATGAATAGAAATGATACGAAAAATAAGTGATTCTCATAAATTTAAAATAATTGAATATTTTCGTCTAGAGTTCCCGATTTTTTGGCCTGAAGTAAAATTTTGAATCATCCACATTTGAACTATCTATGAAACAACAAATGAGTCATGATCTGTGTGTATGTAATGCAGAGAGATGAGAATTTAATGTATGCTTTCATATTTAAAGATGTATATTGCCATAGCATTGTTATTCAACGTTTGGCTTTGTTAGCTACGTGAATGAGAAACGGCTAGGAATCCTACGTCTACGTATTATCGAAAGTAGCTTTTGTTTTACAGCAAAACTTCCACACGTCAGTAATCCGGTTATTGTTGAATGTATTACTATCATACGAGAATGAAGAGATTGCATTCATTGTTTTTATTATCCTAATTTGAGATAATTAAATCTTTCGTTTTGTTTGATTTGATTAGAACAAGATTTTAGTTGCTGTTCGGTTATAGGTCTGAGTAATTTAATCTAGCATTGAATCTAGAAATTCTACTAAGTATGAAATAAATTAGCCAAAAAACGATTAGCATTGTTGATTTTCTTTTCGAAGTAGCCATCAAAGGAAATAACTTTAAACTTGAAAATCAAATGCATTCAGAAATTTTTAAAATCATTGATGATCTCGTTGTCAACTGTGTCATGATTCAGAGACACTGTTTCCCTTTGGTAACACGATTCTCATCATATTTCAGACAAATTAATAATTTATTATTATATTTTCAACATAACTGATTGTCGAACTTCTTAGCAGTCATGATTTTCATATTAAAATATGGTTGCTATTTATTTGTAAAAAGAAATGAAATTTGAACTGTACAAAAGTTCTGTGCTGAAAAAGTAAGTAGAAATAAATTACAGTAGCTTGAGATTTATTATTTATCTAAAATTAACAAAATTAATCATTTTTCCAACACATTGTAGAAAGATTAATTGTGGATGAAGAAAAAATTGAATATTAATATTTATATGAATTTGCCATTTTTAGTAGTGCAAAAAAATCTAGAAAGTAATACTGGTCAAAAAAAAAAAGGCACAAAAGCGTGAATGGGTTAATTTGGAAATCATTCTAATAGTTTTTAGTGTGGTGCTAAAATTATCACTGAAAATTATCACTGTATGCAACTATCACAAATTAATTAGTTAAGAAGCTCAGAGTTATTAAAAGATGCTTCATTCTATGTTTCAAAACTTCTTCATTTTGTGTCTTTAAAATTATATAAATAAGAAATCGAATGATAATATACTTTCAAAATTTTAAGCTCTATCTCATCTTTTTTTATTGTTAGCATAACGACCAATAAAAAAGTGAAAAAAAAAAAAAAGAAAATGGAATCCATAGCAATGACAATGAATTTTTAATTTAGATGCAAAGATGTAAAATTAGAGATCTAATCTTAATAAGAGCTTTTAGTTTCAGATTCATGATGGAATACTTCAACTGATAAAATTATCTTTATGCTTCACAGGACGCATATCTTCTCAAACCATTCATTTTTTTTTTTTTTTTTTGAACGAAGAATAACGAAATATTTGGTTGATATTAAAATGAAAAATGAAAATGCAACTGAAATTTATAGATTTACATTTACTATCTGATAAAATGTGATAAATTTTTTCATCACATTAATTGCTTTGTAATATGCTTAAAGGACATTTTAGCTAGCCTAACGGATGGGTAAATTGTGAAACGGATGGGTAAATTGTGAAACGAATAATTTTATAATTATTATATCACACTTTCGTATGACAAAACTCTCTTATGCTTTATATTTTTGATCTTCATTACTTTTTAGCAATATTGTTTGTTCCTTTTTTTTTTTTTTTTTAGTGCAACTTTATTTTATGTATTGTTTTATCATTATAAATTTAAAGTTTTTTTTTTTTTTTTTTTTAATAGTTGATGGTTTTAGAATTTTGCTCCAATTTCTACCATATGAACACTGTTGAAGAAAATAATTTTTGATTATTGATTGTCTGTAAATTGATGTGAAGAAAGAGAAGAAAAAAAAAAAAGTGAACGAAAAGCTAGCGTTGCTATTTTGTTATATTATTTCATTTATGAATTAAATTTAAGTATTTAAGAAATTCAAAAATGTTGTTGCTGTAATCTTCATCTACTTTTGTTCAAATTCTATTAAATGTTGTAGTTTTCATTCTGCTTTTTGAATTTAATTAAATCGTCCTCCTTCATTTATTTCCGATATTAAATTTTTTTTCTAACTTTTTTCTTTTGTTTTTATTTATTCACATTATTTAGCATTGACAAATTTGCTGTAAACTGATAATTTTTGAGGAAAATAGAATTTTCACATACTGCTAAATTATCTTTATTCAGGAAACTTTAGAACTTATAACGAATGCATAATTCGTATTATCCAGTAAATTTAATTAAATAAATTTGGAAGAAAACTCACTTTTGCCAATACTAGCTATTTCGATAACAAATGAATAGGTCTTACGTTTTTGGTAATTAATGAAAGGACGACTAACTTCATTGTTAACCAAAAAAAAAAAAACGGATAATATTTGACTATTCTTGAACAGAATTAAACCGGGATGACTTTCTTAGATGGATTTTCAAAATATTTTATGAAGCTGAAGTTCGTGGTAAGTTTTTTGCCAATCTTTTTGTTATGAAGTTTAATAACACTCAGATTAATTAATCATATCAATATCTCATTAATCTTATTTGACTTTTTAGTAATGAGCTACAGAATCAAAATTTTCATATTAATATGATTGGTAATAAGCTAGTACAGAATAGATTTTCAAAAAATCAGTATACACTGAAGCTTTTTTCCTTCTCCTACTACTATCTTATTCATAGATTTCAAAGTATTTTTTCTTACCATTTAGAAAAATTAGTTTATAAACTCCAAAAAAGCAACATTTTGTGATAGAATGTGATATGCAGAAATGGAGGAAAAAAAAAATACAATAATTAATATTGTTAATTATGATGGAATCCATATGGAAAGATTGTTTATGATGATGACAGATTGTTTATGAAAGACAGTTTTCAATTTAAGAAATAACAATTCATATGTGATGTCATCATCAACGATTTTTCTTATTTCTGACTTTTCAAATTTTAACAATGTTTGCAGTAAAACGATAGATGCAATTAGAATTGTAAAAGTTATAGCTTTTGAATAATCCAATTCATTCAATACTTTTCAATAAAACATTTAAAAGCTCAATGATTTGTTTCTATTTTAATTTCATTTTTAGATTCTTTTTTATATTTTCCATTCAGTTTGTCAACAAAGACGAATCTAATCTGATAAATTCATACATTTAAAAAAAAATATGTTTTGTTTTGTGACAAAATAGCAAATTCGATGTGAATCATTTCAAAAATCACTTGTTAAGTTCAAATTCATTTCTATTTTCAACTAATTTGTTAATGTAAAATAATAGTTTTATGTTAATAACTCTGCAATACTGTGATAAACTTTTTACCATTTACTAAAATTGAAAATATATCTGCTTGTAATTATTAGCATAATTATTTGCGAACAGTTTTTCTCGCATACTCTAAGTTTGCGTTAACTAACGGTAAAAAGTATCATTCGTTTATTGTTTCACAAACAATTTACAATTTTCTCATTTTCGATATAAACATTGTTATACAATGATTTGACCTGAATTATGCATTCAGTTCCTCTCCTATTATTGTTATGAAAAAGTAATTCGGTTAGAAATCTAAATATGCATGCATATTGTATATGTATTTAATATAAACATTATAATTAACTAAGGATTTGTGTGAATACAAAATGTGCATTAGCATAAGATTAATGAAAATATGTGTTGTGATTAATTTAGTTCAAATTACATATAAATGCTGACAATCGAGTAACAAAATTCGTTATCATTATCTTGATCGAATTTATATTATTCGATTGATGTCACCACTCGTCGATTAGTAAACAGCATTTTAATGGCAAAAAGTCGTGCAAAACGCTTATTATCATTGAAACGATGGTTTATTTTAATAATTTTTGGTGAGTTGAGCATTGCTTTTTATTTCATTTTTTGAAATTAAATTTCTTTCAAAAATCATTTTGCATTGCTTCGTTATAATCGTTATCGTTATTATCACTAAGAAAAAAAAAAT